ACACACTAAGATCCTTTTCTCTGTCTTTGTGTAAATGAACCTGTCCTCAGACCCACATGAGGCATTCCAGAGCACCAACCCTGTCTTCTTCCTTTTCCCAGGATCCAGTGTGGCTCACAGCATCACCCAGGATCAGGTCACAGTCACAGCACAGGAGGGAGACCCTGAAGTTCTGGACTGCAAATATGAAACCAGTTGGGGTTCATATTATCTGAAATGGTACAAGCAGACTCCCGGTGGAAGGATAGTTTTCCTCATTAATCAGGGTTCTCTGATGCCAAGTAATGTAGCAGGTCGCTACAGTGTGAACTTTCAAAAGGAAAGAAAATCCATCAGCCTTACCATCTCTTCACTGCAAATAGAAGACTCAGCACGTTACTTCTGTACCCTGCATGTCCACAGTAATGGAAATGACAGTGGAGTTTAACAAAAACCTTGAGCTCCCTCATGCAGCACCTGCTCAAGGGGTTAAGAAAACTGTGAGCCACAGACAGGAAGAAGCCAGGACTGTGGGGCACAGCGAGACCTTCCTGACGTCACTTAACTCTATAAAGTGTTCCCATATTTGATCTCAGTGTGAGAATGTCCATAGAGACAGCAACCAGCTCAATGTCTTTACCCCAAAATTTCACATATTTCATCGTTACCCCAAAACATGGCAGTAGTAAGAGTAGATAGAGTAGATATTTTGGGGCTAGTGCTTTTTATTTTTTTTTTATTTTTACGATCCCTGTTTTTCTTCTAAACATTTTCTTTTTTTCTTTTGTAACAGTTTATTTTTACAACATTTTGTACATTTTTTTCATCTCAATTGTAATCCCCGTGGGTTTCCCATCCATCACCAAGTCACCCGTGTGCAGTCACCATAATCCCGTGCACTTCCCTCCCCCCCCCCCCCCCGTTTTTGATCCCATTCCCCACTCCACCCCCACAAAATGTCTCTGGTATATGGCTGTTCATTATTCTTGGGGGGGGGTAGTGCTTTTTAAAGAGTCTCCAGAGACACAACTTGTCCTCACCCTGTGGGGGGCAGGTGAGAGGTGTCATCAGGGAGCAGAAGCAGGTCCTACCAGACCCCAGTCCTCAGCACCTGACCTCAGAGTCCCCGCCCACAGGGCAGTGACAGGTGAGTAGCTGTCCTGCATGAGTTCCCAGGTTGTGGGGATTTGCTTCACCATCCAGAGTGGACTGGCACAGACACTGGGCAGATCAGTGGGTGCCTCTCAGGCATCTCCAGGGTCAAATGCTGATTGACTAATAGTGGGTAAAGAATCTTTCAGATGGATCTTGAAATGTCCTATTGGCTGTGCAGGTGCTGCATAACTCTCTGAAAGTCCATGGACTTGTGCAATTCAAGGGTGATTATCTTGTCTGAATTATATCTCCAGAAGGGGGTCTATGAAAACACACACACACACACAAACTACCACCTCCCTATTGTTCTCTGGACTGAACTTGACTTCCCCACAGGATCTGACACCAAGTCATGAGACCAGACAAAAAGGTGCTGCCTTGTCTGA